TGTTCAGAAGGAATGCTCCCAGCTTTTGCCCATTCAGTATGATATTGGCTGGGGTTTTGTCATAAATAGCTCCTATTATTTTGAGATACATTCCATCAGTACCTAGTTTATTGAGAGTTTTTAACATGAAGGAACGTTGAATTTTATTGAAGGCCTTCTCTGCAGCTATTAAGATAATCATGTGGTTTTTGTCATTGGTTATGTTTATGTGACAGATTACGTTTATTGATTTGTGTACATTGAACTAGCCTTGCATCCCAGGGATGAAGCCAACTTGATTGTGGTGGATAAGCTTTTTGATGTGCTGCTGGATTTGGTTTGCTAGTATTTTATTGAAGATTTCACATTAATGTCCATCAGGGATATTGGCCTGAAGTTTTCTTTTATTGTTGTGTCTCTACCAGATTTTGCTATCAGGATAATGAGGTAGGGAGAAGTCCCTCTTTTTCCGTTGCTTGTAATAGTTTCAGAAGGAATGGCACCAGCTCCTCTTTGCACCTCTGGTAGAATTAGGCTATGAATCCATCTGGCCCTGGGCTTTTTCTGGTTGGTAGGCTATTCCTGCTTCAATTTCAGAACTTTTTTTATTGGTCTCTTCAGAGACTTGACTTCTTCCTGGTTTAGTCTTGGGAAGGTGTATGTGTCCAGGAATATATCCATTTCTTCTAGATTTTCTAGTTTATTTACATAGAGATGTTTATAGTGTTCTCTGATGGTAGTTTGTATTTCTGTGGGATCCGTGGTGATCTACCCTTTATCATTTTTTATTGCACCTATTTGATTCTTCTCTCTTTTCTTCTTTATTATTCTGGTTAGTGGTATATCTATTTTGTTAATCTTTTCAGAAAACTAAGTCCTGGATTCATTGATTTTTTTTTTTTTTTTTGAAGGGTTTTTCATGTCTCTGTCTCCTTCAGTTCTGCTCTAATCTTAGTTGTTTCTTGCCTTCTGCTAGCTTTTGAATTTGTTTTTGCTTCTCTGGTTCTTTTAATTGTGATGTTAGGGTGTCAATTTTAGATCTTTCCTGCTTTCTTCTGTGGGCATTTTAGTGCTATAAATTTACTTCTAAATACTGCTTTAGCTGTGTCCCAGAGATTCTGGTATGTTGTATCTTTGTTCTCATTGGTTTTAAAGAACTTCTTGATTTCTGCCTTAATTTTGTTATTTACCCAGTAGTCATGCAGGAGCAGGTTATTCAGTTTCCATGTAGTTGTGTGGTTTTGAGTGAGCTTCTTAATCCTGAGTTCTAGTTTGATTACACTGTGGTCTGTGAGACTGTCGTGATTTCTGTTCTTTTGCATTTGCTAAGGAGTGTTTTACCTCCAATTATGTGGTCAATTTTAGAATAAGTGCAATGTGGTGCTGAGAAGAATGTATATTCTGTTGATTTGGGGTAGAGAGTTCTATAGATGTCTATTAGGTCTGCTTGGTCTGGAGCTGAGTTCAAGTCCTGAATATCCTTGTTAATTTTCCATCTCATTGATCTGTCTAATATTGACAGTGGAGTGTTAAAGTCTCCCCCTACTATTGTTTGGGAGCCTATGTCTCTTTGTAGATTTCTGAGAACTTGCTTTATGACTCTGCGTGCTCCTGTATTGGGTGCATATGTATTTAGGATAGTCAGCTCTTCTTGTTGCATTGATCCCTTTACCATTATGTAATGCCCTTCTTTGTCTTTTTTGATCTTTGTTGGTTTAAAATCTGTTTTATCAGACACTAGGATTGAAACCCCTGTTTTTTTGTTTGTTTGTTTTACTTTCCATTTGCCTGGTAAATCTTTCTCCATCCCTTTATTTTGAGCCCATGTGTGTTTTTGCACGTGAGATGAGTCTCCTGAATACAGCACACCAATGAGTCTTGACTCTTTATCCAATTTGCCAGTATGTGTCCTTTAATTTAAGGTATTTAGCCTGTTAACTTTAAGGTTAATATTGTTATATGTGAATTTCATCTGTCATTATGATGCTAGCTGGTTATTTTGCCCATTCGTTGATACAGTTTTTTCATATTGTTTATGGTCTTTACAATTTGGTACGTTTTTGCAGTGGTTGGTACTGGTGTTTCCTTTCCACATTTAGACTTCCTTCAGGAGCTCTTGTAAGGCAGGCCTGGAGGTGACAAAATCTCTCAGCATTTGCTTGTCTGTAAAGGATTTTATTTCTCCTTCACTTATGAAGCTTACTTTGGCTGGATATGAAATTCTGGGTTGAAACTTCTTTTCTTGTGGCAGGCGTGGTGGCTCATGCCTATAATCTTAGCACTTTGAGGCCGAGGTGGGTGGATCACAAGGTCTGGAGTTCGAGATCAGACTGGCAAATATGGTGAAACCCCATCTCTACTAAAAATACAAAAAGTTAGCTGATCATGGTGGCTAGCCAGCTGTAATCCCAGCTATTTGAGAGGCTGAGTCAGAAGAATTACTTGAACCCAGGAGGCTGAGGTTGCAGTGTGCCAAAATAACGCCAGTGCACTCCAGCCAGGGGGACTCGATCTCAAAAAAAAAAAATTCTTTTCTTTAAGAATGTCAAATGTTGGCCCCCATTCTTCTCTGGCTTATAGGGTTTTTACAGAGATCCCCTGTTAGTCTGATGGACTTCCCTTTGTGGGTATTTGACCTTTCTCTATGGCTATCCTTAACATTTTTTCCTTCATTTCAACCTTGTTGAATCTGACGAGTATGTGTCTCACGGTTGCTCTTCTCAAGGAGTATCTTTGTGGTGTTCTCTGTATTTCCTGAAGTTGAATGTTGGCCTGTCTTGCTAGGTTGGGGAAATTCTCCTGGATAATATCTTGAAGAGTGTGTTTTAACTTGATTCCATTCTCCCCATTACTTTCAGGCACACCAATCAAATGTAGGTTTGGTTTTTTTCCATATAGTCCCATATTTCTTGGAGACTTTGTTCCTTTTCATTTTTTTTTCTCTAATCTTGTCTTCACGCTTTATTTCATTAAGTTGATCTTCAATCGCTGATATCCTTTATTCCACTTGATCGATTTAGCTATTGATCTTTGTGCATGCTTCATGAAGCTCTCATGCTGTGTTTTCTAGCTCCATCAGGTCATTCATGTTCTTCTCTAAACTGGTTATTCTAGTTAGCAATATCTCTCGTCTTTTTCAAGGTTCTTAGCTTCCTTGCATTGGGTTAGAACATGCTCCTTTAACCTGGAGGAGTTTGTTATTACCCACCTTCTGAAGCCTACTTCTGTCAGTTCATTAAACTCATTCACCATCCAGTTTTGTTCCCCTGCTGGTGAGGAGTTGTGATCCTTTGGAGGAGAAGAGGCATTCTGGTTTTTGCCATTTTCAGTGTTTTTGCACTGGTTTTTTTCTCATCTTTGTGGATTTATCTGCCTTTGGTCTTTGATGTTGGTTACCATCGGATGAGTTTTTTGTATGGACATCCTTTTTGTTGATGTTGATGCTATTTCTTTCTGTTTGTTAGCTTTCCTTCTATCGGGCCTCTCTGCAGCAGGTCTGCTGGAATTGTCTGGAGGTCCACTTTAGACCCTGTTTTCCTGGGTATCACCAGCAGAGGCTGCAGAACAGCAAAGATTGCTGCCTGTTCCTTCCTCTCGAAGCTTCACCCAGAGGGGGCACCCACTAGATGCCAGCTGGAGCTCTCTTATATCAGGTGTCTGTGGACCCCTGCTGGGAAGTACTTTCTAGTCAGGAGGCCCGGAGGTCAGGGACCCATTTGAAGGGGCAGTCTGCCTCTTAGCAGAGCTCGAGCACTGTGCTGGGAGATCTGCTGCTCTCTTCAGAGCTGACAGGCAGGAACATTCAAGTTTGCTGAAGCTGCCCGCAGCCACCCTTTGCCCCAGGTGCTCTGTCCCAGGGAGATGGGAGTTTTATCTATAAGCCTGTGACTGGGGCTACTGCTTTTCTCTCAGAGATGTCTTGCCCAGAGAGGAAGACTCTAGAGAGGCAGTCTGGCTACAGTGGCTTTGCCATCTGTGACTTCAGACTGCCATGCTGTCAGTAGGAATTGCAACCCAGTGGATCTTAGCTTGTTGGGCTCTGTGGGGTTGGGGGTGGGATCTGCTGAGCTAGACTACTTGGCTCCCTGGCTTCAGCCCCCTTTTCATAGGAGTGAAAGTTCTGTCTCACTGGCATTCCAGGCACCACTAGGGTTTGGAAAAAAAAAACATCTGCAGCTGGTTCTAGTTTTGTGCTTAAAACCCAGGGCCCTGGTAGTGTAGGCACCTGAGGGAATCTCCTGGTCTACAGGTTGTGAAGACTGTGGGAAAAATGTAGTATCTGGGCTGGAATGCACCATTACTCATGGCACAGTCCCTTATGGCTTCCCTTGGCTAGGGGAGGGAGTTCCTTGACCTTTTGCACTTCCCAGGTAAGGCAACGCCCCACCCTGCCTTTGGCTTGCCCACCGTGGGCTGCATCCACGCCTAACCAGTCCCAATGAGATAAGCTGCGTACCTCAGTTGGAAATGCAGAAACCACCTGCCTTCTGCATTGATCTTGCTGGGGCTGCAGACTGGAGCTGTTCCTATTCAGCCATCTTGCCAGCCACCCTAGTCATTTTTTAAAAAGATCAACCAGTATGATATTTGATTTTTGTTTTTATGTAGTAGCTCATTCTATTGATATGTTTGCATATAGTCTTTATAATTTATCATGAAAGCAGATGTTTTTCTGCCTGCCAAAATGTTAGCTATAATTGAGTAATTCATTAATATAACTAATTGTTTACTTATTTTCTCACACTTGTGGTCTTTAAGTGAATGTTCCTTTTGTTGAATTCAGGCCAAAAAGTGGGGCAGCTTCAGTGTGTTGACCCATCTATGTCTGACATGAAAGCAGTGTTCTGAGGTGTCCTCCCATTTACCACGTGGCATAAAAGACTAGTTTTGCAGTAGTCTAGTGATACCAGCTCTGTGTATGTGTTCTAATGGGAAAAGAGGGAGGTGTCTGACTAGTCCAAGATAAGACTACAGTGCAGTGTCTGGGACTGAACTGTTTTTTAATATATGTTTATTTTTAGAAAAAGTCATCACTGTGCTAGCTGCCTGTCTGGAAAGTGAGAATCAAAATGCTCAGAGGATTGGAGCAGCTGCGCTTTGGGCTCTGATTTACAATCATCAGAAGGTCAGTTTTAAAAATCACTGTTACACCTAGGGAGCAAACAACCAGGTCTAAACTCTTAGGATACATCCAAACATGTCAGAAGAGTTACAGCAAAAGAAAAAAGAAATTAAGTCAAAGACTCGTGTTCCCTTTGCTCATTCATACAATTAGTAAAACATCAGTTGAAATCTTTTTATTTAATCATTTCAACAGAATGTTTCAGTTCAGAAGAGAATCCCTGAACTGAGTTTTTTCTCTTAATTTAAATTGATTTACTGTATTGTTGGAATTTTAGTATAGATTGTTTCTTCTAAAAGTTGTATCAAGGGAAAACACATCTTAAAGTAAAACTAAGTAACGCAAACTTTATCCTATTGTATAATAATTCCCCTCTCTCTTGCTCAGTTCTTGCAAGACTGCAGCACAAAGCCTGCTCAAGAAAAGGGCAGGCCACGTGGAGACTTGTGTTCTACTTTTTCTCTGGCCTTTGGACTTCTGTTTTATTGCATACATCTCATTCCCAAGAGAAATACCCATAAGTATCTAGTGATTAAATAATAGCCTAATGACAGTGTTAGGATAGACAGCCATCCTAGAATGGTGTTCTCTCAGCTGACTATCCCTGCCTGGGCTAGTTTTCCCCCTGTTTGCCAGAGTCACATACACAGGACAGAGGCTGTTGCTGCCATCCTCACCTGGGTATCCCCAGAGCTTAGCACAGGATTTCGCACTTTGTAGTCATTCCATAAACATTTGTTGACCAACTGGTGATATTTGGTATACATGATCAGAAATCTGAGGTGCGAGGGACTATGAAATACGGAGACCAAAGTTGACTAGTTTAAAATAGCAAATTGAGATTAGGGGAGAAGGAGTAAAAGGGAAGAGAAGAAAAAAATGGGACAATAGAGAAACAAGTTAGATAAGAGGATATAGGCAAGACTTCAGAATGTGCAAGGGGATTGGCACAATAGGATGTATTATTTATAGTAAGATGGAATTCTCTAGTTATATCATCATATTTCATCATATTCTATTTAATACTCTAGTTAGCAATGGGCAGAATTAGTGTTTTGCTATTATGATCCTTAACACATGGCAATAAACCTAATTAATGAATTGTTCTATAATATCTCTAGGCAAAAGCAGCTTTGAAAAGTCCATTAGTAAAAAGAAAAGTGGATGAAGCATATTCCTTAGCAAAGAAAAGTAAGTTTCAGTAAGAAAGAGATTGTAGTTAAATTTGGAAGCTGGTAAGTAAATTCTCTGATTAATGAGATATTTGGACAGACCACAGCAAAATGGCAGTGTAAAATGTGCCAATATTCAGTTTGTGCTTCAATTATATCATTTTAAAAAATAATAAGATAGATAGATGAAGATTTAAGATGTGATCATTGCTTAAAATGCATCTGTGAACTTAATTGTATTTTTGTACTACATCTTCTTTGCCAACAGTGACTGTCGTGCTGAAGTATGTTCTTAGTGATAAGAACTGGCCCAGTTAGAATTAACTGTGAGCAGAAAACTGGGATCTGACATCAGGGAGCTGGAGGACAGTCTTTCATGACCCTACTACCCCTATATCTATGTTTCCCTGTGATCTGGTCACCATACTAGAAAGGGTTTTCTTTTCAAAGAATATTACTCATTTTTAGCAACACCAAATTTCAGTGAGCATTGTTCTCTGAACACTTTTCATGCTAAAACACTGAACTGTGTCTTTCCTGTACTGTAATATATCTGTTGGTTATTTGTGTTTTTATAGTCTGATTTTTTTTGTAAGCAGGGGAGGTTTCAGTTCGTTTTAGCTGTGACCATGAATTTCTGGAGCTAATGAATAACTGAGTTAAAGTTTATGCTTTAGAAAGGATGGTCCATAAAGAAAGAAAAATGGCATTCATTTGGAATTATCGTTAATGGTATCCATTATGTGGGAGTACTTTTTAAAAATACTCTTTGGGTAAACTGTTAATTTTAAAAATGTGTTAATTTTGTAACTTGTTCATTTTTTAAAAAATGCAAAATACTCTGGAATGCTATCACATCAAGAACTTAAGTAGAGCTTTATATTATATATAAATGCTGTTCATATATATTTGTTTATGTGTGTGCCTCTTAAGGATACTACCAAGTTTAATAAACTAGTATTTGTGTACTCTTATTTTTCTATCTCAGCTTTCCCAAATTCAGAAGAAAACCCTCTAAATGCCTATTATTTGAAATGTCTTGAAAACCTCGTGCAGCTTCTTAACTCTTCCTGAATGCCCTGCGATGCTACACCTTGAAACTGACAGCCACCAACCTGGGAGCTAAAGTTGAAGCCAGCTGTGTGTAGCAGCTGTTACCTGAAGACATGCTACCTCTCTACAAAGGGTCGATCCTCCTCTTTCCCATGAGAGAGAGAACTGGTGACACTCCAGCACTATCCAGTCATGGCAGCTCTCCAGAAGTAATAGCAGCTGACAGCTTCCCATGCCTTTTCCTTTCTGTCGAAAAGGCATAGAAAGCTCTGGGAACATAAACATTTTTACCCTTTTCTATGCCATTTATTTTGTAAAAATCCTATTTAACAGTTATTTAATAAAACAATATTTTTAGAAACTGAGAATTGACTAATAATTGCTGCTTACAGACTTCTATCAGTCTCATGAATATTAATTTTAGGAGTTGAAAGAAGGCATTGTGTCCTTTTTTTTCTTTTTTTTAATTTTTATTTTAATTGATATAAAATTTGGCTCTGTCAGTACAAATTCTTATTTTCAAACCTTTCTGTTACCCAGAGCATCCACACTGAGAAAGGGACATGTGTAAGTGTGTACTATTTGTAGGTAGCTTTCTTATGCAAGCTTTTAGTGATGTTATCTTCTTTCTAGATGACTCTTAAATCGTTACATTTATAATCTTCACCTTTGGCTCTGCAAAGCTGTGTAATAAAGAAGGAAGAAACAGAGTTGGAGTTATGTAAGCCTGGGTTCAAATTCTAGCTCAGCCCAAAACATCATGAAGAATAGAATAAGACTGTGAAAAATGCAGAAGATGGTTGGACACCATGGCTCACGCCTGTAATTTCAGCTCTTTGGGAGACTGTGATAGGTGGATCTCCTGAGGCCAAGAGTTTGAGACCACCCTGGGCAACATGGTGAAATCCCATCTCTTCTAAAAATATAAAAATTACCCATGCCTAATAGTGAGCATCTGTAACCCTAGCTACTCCGGTGCCTGAGGCACAAGAATCTCTTGAACCTGGGAGGCAGGGAGATTGCAGTGAGCTGAGATTGTGTCACTGCCCTCCAGCCTGGATGAGAAAGCAAGATTCTGTCTCAAAAAGGAGGAGGATCGAGCTCTGTAAGGTACTCCATTACATAGTCTTACCTAACCTGTAGTTCTGAATTCAGTGCCTAAACCAAAATCAAGAGTTAATCACTTTCAGCAACTTTCCCAACGCTTTTGAAAGTGAGAAAATTGTATCTAAGAGAAATAAAAGGTGAAATATTAATATATATGTATATCCATATATGTCACATATACATTTATACATACATACATATATATAGTTACTTGGGATAATGTTTTAAGAAAAATTTTCCTAACTTACGGTTCACAAGAAAAGAAAAAAAATCATTTTATATTAAGTGCTGTTAACAAATTGCTAACAGCAATAAAATAAGCAATGATGTTATTTAAGCTGAAAGTGTGAGGACAAGATTTATATTAAATACAGAAACAATAACAGTTAAAGTTGTAATATCTGAGAATCACTGATTCACGATCTGAAAATAAATCTAGGAAGCTCGGAAGTTTCTGAGCCTCCCAAGTTCGTGTGTAACAATGGACATGCCGTATTCTAGAAAACTCACCAATTCTGAGAGCAGGAATCTGGAGAATTATTTTTCCCTTCTCTCCTGGTGTTTTACATTCCTGGCCATTTTTTCTGGAATTCTCTAATCAGCCCTCACTGATAAATAAATGAATTTCTAACTCCCTTCATAACTCCTTATGTGTCCCAGATACTATTCTCATAACTTTAATCATTTAATCTAGAATTTTCTAAAATACTACTAATGTGTTTGTGGTCTAGGTGAGTAAGCGGAGGTGCAGAGTGGTTAAGTAATGTGCTCCCTGTCTGTGGTTGGTTAACAGTGGAGTGGAGGTTGGAACCCAGGATAACTGCAGGTAAGTTTGGCTTTTCTTTATAAATCACCATGCCATGCTGCCTTATTCTGCCCCCCTGCCACCCGCTCCCCCATTGATATCTCTTTTTTGTGTTTGGATCTTACACATAAACACCATTTTTCTACAAAAATTTGGTCTCTACAGGGAAATGATATTATGATTGATTGATTGATTGATTTACTTATCAGAGTATGTACTACTTCATCTTCTTGGAAGCAGGAAGAACTGTGACTGATCATTTTCCCTAGTACTTCACAGTAGTGCCAGAGGGAGATTTGTAGACCAGTAGTCAGAACCACCCAGAAACGTTACCTGCCAAATCCCAGGAGACCGCACACCTTGGAGGAAGGAGAGGGGCCATGGCTTTAGGATAACTTGCATTTGCCTGTCTTGGTGTCCAGGAATGAGAAGCTCGGGTGCACGCAGTGGTCCAGATCCTGGGGACAGTCTTGCAACTGGGTCTCTTGGGATTCTGTCCCGTCAGCCAGTGGGGAAGATGTTTCAGCAGGAGCCTTGAGGTGACTGGCGCACTGCTGTAGCAGCTGCCCTGCCTCTCCCTTGGGGACCAGCATCAGAATCCTCAGGTGTGTGCTAAAATGCAGATGCCTGGGCTCAATGAAGCAGGCTTGTGTATAGGAGAATGTTTAGCAAGCTCTTCAGGTTCTGCTCACCACAGTTTGAAAACCACTGAATCCCTGATTACAGAAAACTGCCTAGAACATGAAAATTATTTAGTATCACTTAACTGCTTCCTGATGAAATCATGACTTGAATCTGGGTCTCCAGAAAATAGGTACAGGGCACTTGTTCATACATCATGGCCTCTAATTTCTCTATATCCTAGCATTTTTGGTGGGCTGAGTTAGTGTGTGTGCACTGTGGAAGCACAAAATGGTGGTGCCACATCGCACATGAAGTATAGACATTGATGCTGAGGCTCTGGACTGAAGACCTTGAGCAATTTGAGGGAGGAGGCAGCCATTAGTTTTGAAAACAGGAAGCTAATAGGAAAGTAGAGTTAGCAGACCTGCCTGGACCTTGTTCCCACTCTTCCTAAAAACACTCAGAAATGAATAGCTGGATGGGTGTGTGGTGTTCTATAAGGAATGGAGCAAAAAAAATAGAATTTTGCCTATTTAACTCCAGATCACCAGTTTTCCTTTGTAGTGTTAAATATACTCATCATTTGTGGTAATTTTGCATCATCAGTCTTTGGGGCTGCACCTTGTATATTTCCCATTTCCTGAGGTTGCCAGAGCCCCAACTATGCTTCTTAACCCATTATGTTCCTCAGATTTGGCAGAATGATGGGTAAGAGTAGTGACTGGCATCCCCACTTTTGCATTAGGATCTGCTTGCAGTTATCTCAGTGAATGAGAGAGCATAATATAGTGGTGAAAAGTAGAGGGCTCTTGAGTCCTATGGGCCTGGGATCTACCCTGGCCTCACCACTGCAATTGTGCAATTGTTGGAATCCTGGAAGAGGCTCGAGGCTGTGATTGGGGACGAAGGCACGTACCTTGTGCAGTTAGTGAGAGGACTGAGTGCCTAGCTTGATACACAGTTGTCCCTTAGATGTTATCAGTGATTTATTATCTTTACATAATTCTCCAAAACATCTCTTTAAGTAAAAACTTTTAAGTCTTTTGTGTCCTTGCAAACCTTCCTCCCCTCTGGGAGGGGGATGTGCTGGAAAGTGAGTCAGGCTGTGGAAACGAAGGTTCCAACATCCCAAAAGGATTGTTGGTTCCTAGTGGATTGCGTGTCCACAGTCCTGGGATGAGTGATCGCCCAGACACTTAGCAAGGCATCATTGAGAACCTGAGTCTCAGAAAGCACTGCATACAGGCGTTATATACACCTGGGGTGCCACATGTTTTTCTGCTTGTCATGTTGTCTTGATTGAGTGTCAGTTGGCAAAATATTGCTCTTCCTCCATCTGACTTGTGCAAATGGAAGATTGAAAAAATTATAACCTTAGTAACCAAAAGAAAATCTTAGCTTAAAAAAATCCATCAAATTGGGAGTAGCCATTTTTTTTCTTTCTTCCCATTGATCATTGCTATCCAAAGACTAAGAAGCCTGGATGATAAAATCCTATTGTTTTGGTGAATTAGGAAATTCAGTTTTGGGGAACATAGAGTTTATTCTTTTTAACTTAAAATTTCTCATAGGAAACTCCTTATACAACTCAAATAATTCCTTATACAACTCAAGTCCCGCACCCGGGGCTGTGTGGGACTGCGCTGAGCCTCAAGGCTCAGGTGTATGAAAGACTGTGCCAAGACCCCAGGATTCTGAGATTTGGCGGCAACACAGAAGGAGCTCAGTGTGATTCTACTTGAAATGTTTCCAACCATGTTCATTTTTTGCATTTTGTTTGCTCTTTCCACATTGGAGGAATCTGCTTCAGAAAAAAAAAATCTTTAGACCAATGTTTTACAAAATATTCATATGGTAACATTTAAGAATTTTTTTCTTAATTTTGCATGAAAGACAAGGGAAAAAATGTGTTTTAGTACAGACTCTGAGGGAATGTTCTTTGATACATTTCTACTCTTCAGTGGCATCCTTACCTCACTTTGGCCTCTGCCAATGCTCGTGTCTTTGGAGTATCTGCACCCATTGGGGTTCATCTGGGCAGCGATACTTAGTAGTCTGGTAGCAGATTGCTTGCAGTTCCAGGTAATTCTGAAAACATAATTTCTTCAAATACTTTATTGGAATGTTCTTTCTTTGGCTTACCATGGAAGTAAACAGATTGTAAAATGGGAACTTACTGTTTATCATTGTTTTCTGATCATATTCATAAAGATTGGATTGTAAAGAATCAATTTATGGGTATCATACTGATTTAAAGTTATATTCTGTATCTGCCAGGAATAGCCACAGTTTGATTAAGTAGAAACTCCAAAGTAATAATGGCTTCAGTAAGAAAGGAGTTTCTTTTTCTGTTTACTGTTCTTGTTGTTGTTTGCGTCCCAGGAAACTCACATGTGGGCAGTCTGTGGCTAACAGTGCCCTCAGAGGCTCAAGTACCTGCTTTTCTGCTCTCTCTGTTTTTGCATGTTTCCTTCAGAAGTTATCTCATGGACATCAGGAAGGAGAAAGTTGGAAAAGGACTTCCTCAGCTGTGTTTCCCTTTAAGGAGCCTTCCCAAAAGACAGGTCCAATAACTAGAGCTCATATCTGAGACAGAACAGCACATGGTCACTCAAAGCTTCAAGAGAGGCCAAGAACTGTAGTCCTTTATTTGGGCACGTTGCCAGATCCAGTAGCCCGGCCCTTTGCTAATAGAAGAGGGGAGGAGGTGTTTGGTTCGACAACCACCGGTGTCCAATGTTCTACTTGATTTGAGAGAAAACCGTGATATAATTGGGGTTAAAAAAAAAAAAAAAGCATTATCTTCCCAAGTAAAAAAGATTAGATG